CCTACTCCTCCTCCTACCTACCTCTCTCTCTCTCTCTCTCTCTCTCTCTATATATATATATATATATATGCTTCAGGTCCTCCGCAGTAGCTCAATGGCATTCACGATCATGGTGGTCATCTGCAAATGGTGGGTATTGACCCAATTGAAAAAAAACCATGGGAAATTTGTGGGTGATTTATTATGGTTTTCCCGAGAGCTTGAGTAACAAGATCACGAGCGCGCTTAGCGAAGAGGTTGATCTAGGTTAAGATGCACACCGAAAAAACTTTCTGCAACAAAATGGAGGAGAATGTGGTGGCAAAATTTCCCCATTTGAGTTGCTCCCTCCATTTGATGGAGGTTGAAAGGCAAGGGAATGCGGGGAGTGAAGCATTTGCACATTCCCTGCTGTTCTGGAGGTTAAGCGGTAGAGTTTGAGTGAAAAAATATGGTGAAAGAAGCAGCGACATATTACAAGTGTGAAGCTTCCAGTGCAAGAGAGGGGTAATCTAGTGCAAGAGAAGGGTAATCCGCCGTGTTTGCTTAAGAGAAAGCGGTGACATCTTTCCCCATTTTCTGAGAAGTTGACACCCAAGTAGGCTGCATTTTTCTCTGGAAGTGGAGAACACACCCAAGTGGGCTGCATTTTTCTCTGGAAGTGGAGAAGGAGAAACATAAAGCAACAAGTTTCTCCATCTTTCTCCGCTTTTCCCACTAGGAAACGTATATGAATAGACCATTTATTTTATATACAAGAATGTCACAATCATTGTCAACCATTGGATGTCACATCCAAGGGCCAAAAAAAGTTGTGACCTTATACCAAAAATAAATGATCTCATAACATACAATCCCATAAAAATATTCCCAATCCTTCAATTTCTTCAGTATCTGGGTATTTAAACAGCAAAAAATGTTCCCAATTTTTCATTTTCTTGAATATCTAGGTAATTATTAAACGACCGTTGAAACTTATTTACCAAAATCTTCCACTCTAGAAGTTATTTTGTTGTACATGCATTTTTATTTTGTTGTACATGCATTTCGTGACAAAACAATGAGGACTTATTTCAAAGGGTAAACAATGAAGTACAAACCAGAAGCTTGGGGCATGTTTTGTTGGACAGAGAGAATTACACCTTAAGAAGATCAATAACTAGAAAACAGGGAAACTTTCATCCTTCATCATGCATATGATGGGCATAGAAAAATTTTCCTTTTGTTTCAATTTTGATGCCCCCTTAACAAAAAGATTAATAAACAAAATGATTTGATAGATTCTAGATTTCCTGGTATCAAACCAAGCTAAAATATTACAAATGAGATTACTGATATCCAGAAAATCCTACCTTGTAACAAGATACTGAAGATAGGCACAGGGGAGAGATCACACATCCATTAAATCAACAAAGGAAATGCTGCTTAACAATATGTAAAGAAATAACAATACTCGCTAATCAACTGGAACTTCGACTTCCATCTTCACACCACACATGCCAAGAATCTATATGAATAAGAAGAAAGCATGGGAGTCAAACATTGTACGTTTTATCATATTGAAATGAATAGTCACTCTAAATGAAGCTCACTCCACAATCCATTTTTCAGTACTAAAAAAGTACGAGGTCTGCCTCTTGTCAATTTCTTTCTTATCCCATTTCACCATTCCTCGAATTCTACTCTCAAATAAAGAAGTTGATGGAAAGGACCAGGTTTTCCATAAGGATCCGTTTCCTTCAAAATTGTTGCCAAGTTTTATGACAAGGATGCCATATGTATAAACTGTATCACTCTATCCCCGTACGTACAATATGGGGAAGACGCTATTTATAGAAAGATAATGGAAGTCAATGTTTTTCTTCTTGGTTATTACATGTTATCAGTGTTTAAAAATGCTAGGTGGCCAGAGGGATCCAAGCCGCCTAGCACCTAAGCAGGCGCCTAGCGCCTAAGCAGGCGCCTAGCGCCTAAGCAAGCGCCTAGAACCTGGGCAGCTCGATAGAAAGAAAAATGTCTCTATAGTCTGACAGTTTAAGTGTAACTGTATAACACATAAGAGTTAGGGATTTAGGGCATATGAAATGTATAGTACACAAGTCCACATAGCACAAACTCCTCCATACTCCATAAGTCCATCGTCTAATAGTCCACTAAATCTAATAACAATGGGTGATGCTTAGATCAATTTCTCGTAACTTTGAGAAACCCTCTGATCCTATGGAAGTCATCAAAAACTAGTTTTTTTGGGGGTTTTTCTCTCTTTAAAATAGGCTCTAATAGGGTTTAGGTTTCAAATGAATCTAAAACCTACGATTTTGCCACTTTAGTATTAAAAAAAGCCCAAAAATACCCTCAACAAGGGCCATTTCCGCCCCTGGGCAGCCACCCAGGCCTTCTGTACTGCCTAGGCGTTGGGCGGTCCGCTTTTTAAAACACCGCATGTTATCATTACAAAACCACTAGGAATGACAACCACCTCTAGCCAAATAAGCTATACTAACTTCGATTGTGCCAATCAATGTGAACTTCACACTTTCCTCAGGAATACGAAACTTGAATATGTATAGGATGCTTTCTTGATAATTAGAAAGGGCTTTATTGCTACAACTCATGGCCCAAACCCTAAAATAATGTGATTATTGGGCATTTCTTGGTGCACATCAATAGATGAGTCCTACAGGCGATCAAATGAGTTTTCTTTATTGATAAAGTTGACTGTGTAGTATTAATGAATAAAAAATACAAATTAAATCTTGCACATTTGCTGTATTTGTTTACAAAGGATATAAATGTGTTCACTAAATCACTTTGTTCTTTGTCTCATATCCCATGTAAGCTCAGACAAAAACCCATTTCAAACCCCAATTCTCGTGAGGAATCCAGGAGTCAAAATAATAAAACTGTTATAGAAGATGTAATGTTTGACTTTTGACCGATACTACAAATGTCATAGATAATCTATTAAATCTTATCATAAAAAATGTGATAAAGAACACTTTTTCTTATATGCAATATTCAGATCAGCATTGATGATGGTTTCAAGGCCTCTTAGCCGGAGGATAAGTCCTACAAAGGAGTAACTATGTCTTGCAAACTTTTAAGGATCTGTTCCAATGTTGCCAGGGCTAGACCGGTGATTGAGCACCAGTCTGGTCAGAGCAATAGGACATAACAGATGCACCTGTTAGACCAGTCATAGAATTTAAAAAATAAAAATTAAGGAAAAAAAACAATAAACTTGAAAATATAGCAAAGATTGTCGAAAAATCCAGGCAAAATATTTTAAAAATAAGGAGAATTTCAGAAAATTGTTAGGAACAAAAATATAATTGTAACATACCATATGTCCTCCATAATTCCCAATCTCATGCAGTCATGATGCGTTCCAACATGCCATCAAGCAATAGAAATGAAAATGAATTATTTTAAGGAAAAAGTTCAAACATAAACATAAGTCACAAGACCTCAACTCCACATCAAAATTGAAACAAGGGATCCTCAAAGAAAAAGAGAGAAAAAAAGGAGTATTAAACAACCAAAATATAAATATGACAACTAATTGAAATTAAAAAAAAAAAACATTTATATTCAAAAACAAAAGGCACAAAATCCACAAGATAAGGAAAAACCTACAACACTTGCTACTAAAGAAAAAAAACAAAAGAATGAATGCAAAAAACAGCCCTTGCCATTAAAAAGTTTGTTAGTTGTGAAAGCCCTACAATCCGGAAAATATTTTCAATTCTTAATTTTTAAAATCCAAAATGAATTAAACAAAGAATAAATAAAATGGACTAACTTGGGAGTTAAAACTTCAGATTATGAGGCTCGAATTTGCTCGAAGAAGTCCCCCAAAGGTCGCCCAAATCTGAGGTTTTTCTTGTGAGGGAGAGAAATTCGCCAAATCCTTTTTCCCTCTCTAAAAAAGTGCTTTTTTATACCCTAAAGATTTAGTTAGGATGATGAATATAAAGAAAGCAGAGATTCATCATGCTTTCTTTTATGGTGAGGTAAACAGTACCAAAATTCGGACTTAAAAAAAATAAAATATAATAAACATAAAGCGAGGATGTTTACATAACAGTTTCTTCTGGATTACTGGATTTTCACTCAACAACCATAATATCATTTCAATCCAATGTTCATCCAGCTCTTAGTTACTAAGAATGCCTATGTAATGCCTATGGGAGCAAGAGCAAGAGGGGAATAGGTGAAGAAACATCACAGCCTTCCTTAAAATTGGGGACAAAATGAATTGTTAACAATCCTTTTTGCCACATACAATATTTTCCTTTCTTGGGCTAGGTCAGCTTGGTTTGCAGAGAGTGGTTCAAATCCTAGACTTCTCTTGTACAAGCCAGGTGCCTCACTTTTAGGCAAATGGCCTGGTTACCATACGGCATACTGTATTTTTCCCATAAAAAAATTCCCATATTTTTATTTCTTTAGGAAATGCAATCCCCATAGTTTTTGCCTACTACTGGAAATGCAATCCTATTAATATTTGCAAAAAAGATCATATTATAAAGCTTGGCAATGTTAATAGAGATGATCAAAACTTTGAAGAATATAAAAATACTAAAAAAAACACTACGAAAATAGCAAGTAAGGCTAAATTTAACGCATACGATGATATAAACAATAAACTACGGACAAGAGAGTGAAAAAGATATCTCCAAACCAGTGGTTTAAAAAACGGATCGGTGTCCCGGATCGGTGAATCGACAATCTGGATCAGGAACCAGCCGAATCGATCGGATTAAGCCTTAAAAAAATCCAAAAAAATTGTTAAAATTCATTATAAATGATGTTTTTTAGGAATCCAATAAAAAATGGGGGTACTGCATTATTAACTTTCATTTTTTTCATCAATATGTGAATATTGAGATGTTCTTTCCCTGTATGAACTTATGTTAACCATTAAATTTATATAACACAAAAGAAAAATCATAAAATTATCATGGATGAAGTATATAATTATACATCGACTACAATAAAGAATGATTTAAATCGATGAAAAACTGACCACCAAAATCTCAAATTGGCAGAAAATCATAATCCGTTAAAAAACAAACCCCAAATTATTACAACCTAACTAACCATAATCCAAAATTATTACAACTTAACTGACTATAATATTATATAATGAAATTGAAATTGTTGGTGTACATTTTATAGTTATTTTATTATACAAATAATAACAAATCCAAAATCTCTTATAATATCATCTAATTTAAAATGTATTATTGACAACTATAAGAAAAAATAGTACATTACATAATTTATAATGCAAATAAATTAAAATAAATAAAATAAAAGATTTGGTTATCAATGTAGAAATAAATTATAAAGTGGTATGAGTTAGTGTTATTTTTCTCTCTTAAAATATCCTCTCAACTAATATTTTTTAATATTCAACAGACTAGAATTACTATTTTTTTTTTTTTTAATATCCTATGAGCTAGTACTAATTTTTAATCTCAATTAACTACTTGCTTAATTATTAATCATATAATGAAATAATCCCGTGAGATAATAGCCTAATAGAGTTTTTATGTTTTATTTGCGTAGGTAAATTTAAATTTTTTTATGAAAGATAGGGGTGGTGAGCAACCAATTATTATTTTTAATAATTTTTTCTTTTTTATCAAATAATTTAATTACCAACATCGGCAATACACCCTTCTTATTCACGACGGGTATACACCGTCGGGCGTACACTGTCGTGCGTACGCCATCGTAGCTTTTTACGTTTAAAGTTCAAATCGTTTTATAAAGTTTCAAACGTATATTAAACCTCACGTGGGTTTAGTAGGAAGCAAAGGTACAAAGAATAGTCCCACATCGAAGAGATGTGGGATAGAGAGGCTCTATAAAAGAAGCAGGCCAATCACCTTTGTCAACATGTGTGAGCAAGTGGGGCCATGTAGGTGGATCGTGCACGCTGATGTGAGCAGGTGGGGCCGCAAAATTTGAATGTTTAATACAAAAACAGAAAATCAGATGAGTCGCAAGATCATGACATCATCATGTCATCACAAGGCTGATTCACTCCCGCTGCTTTTCAGAAAAAATCGCCGTTTCAGCTCTAGGGTCGCTTGGTTTCCGGTATTTCGCCGGAATCTGCACGGGGTGGCCGATTTCCGTGTTGACCCGGGCGATTCCGGGTCGACTCGGCATTTTTTAAATCATTGCTCGAAACTAACAAAAATGAGAGAGGAGGTGTGTATTTCGCTGGAATCTGCACGGGGTGGCCGATTTCCGTGTTGACCTGGGCGATTTCGGGTCGACTCGGCATTTTTTAAATCATTGCTCCAAACTAACAAAAATGAGAGAGGAGGTGCAGTGACCTAGATCATATTAAATGAATTAACAGGGAGGATCAGAGGGTCTTAGTGAAGGATGACAAGGTCAACAAAAAGCGGCGAATTTATCTTCAAAAATTGCTAAATGATGAACACTATGGAAGCACAACATTAAGAGGAATCTTCGACATAAATAACGTGGGAGGTCATAGATACATCTGCCGGTTAGGATATCAGAAGCGCAAGAAGTGTTGAGAAAGATGAAAATAGGAAAAGCTTTAGGACTAGATGGTATCCCGATAGAGGATTGGAAGTGCATGCGAGTATTGACATATTCTAGTAGATCAAGCTATTCAACAAGATGTTGAGAACAAAGAAAATGCCAGATGAGTGGGTAAAAAGTATTATGGTACCTATTTACAAGAATAAGGAAGACATATCTTAGGATTAAAATTATGAGTCACACTAGGAAGCTGTGGGAGAGAGTATTGAGCAACGACTAAAGTGTATCAGAAAATCAGTTCAGTTTTATGTCAAGGAGGTCAACAATTGAGGCTATTTTCCTACTTAGACAACTAATTGAGAAGTTTAAGGACATGAGAAGAGACCACCACATTGTCTTAATTGACTTAAAGAAAGCATACAATAGAGACAATAGAGTACCTAGAGAGTTAATTTGACGGGTTTTATAAAAGAAAGGAGTCTCTAAAGGATATATTAACATAAGAAAGATATGTACGAGGAGCGCTAATTAATGTGAGAACAACTAGTGGAGAGACAAGTGAGTTTTTTTATGACTGTAACCCTACATCAAGGGTCAGTGTTAAGCCTATATCTCTTTATTTTAATTATAGATGAGTTAACTATGCATCTACGAGATGAGGTATCATGGTGCATGTTATTCACGGCTGACACAATTTTAATTAATGAGACTAGAGGTGTCGTCAACACAAAGTTAGAACTTTGGAGGGATGCTCTATAATATAAAGGTAATAAAATTAGCCAGACTAAGACAAAATATATAGAATGCAAGTTTAGTAATAATAGAAGTACAACGATTAGTAGTAAAGATTGATGGTCAAAAAATACTTAAAAGATATTATTTTCAATATCTTCGATTGATAATCTAGGAGAATGGTGAATATCACACAAATATGGCGTATAGAATTAGAGCTAGGAGGGAAGTGGAGATGTGCATCTGGAATTTTATGTGATCACCATATATACAAATGAAACTGATGGGAAAGATCTATAGGATGGCTGTAAGACCAATCATGCTTTATGGGACCAAATATTGGGCAGTCAAGAAACAACATATCCCTAGGATGAGTGTAGTTGAGATGAGAATGTTGAGATGTATGAGTGGCAAGACAAAAAATGATAGAATTCAAAATGAATATATCTGAGGGAACTTGGGGGTGCTCCAATAGGTGATGAGATGAGGGAAAGTATACTTAGGTGGGCTGGCCATGTGCAGTATAGACCTAATACAACACCAGTTAGGAGATGCGATTTGGTTCAAGTGGAGGGCTCTAAAGGGGAAAGGGGAAGGCCTCAAAAGACATGAATGGAAGTAGTCAGAAGAGATATGGTGACTTACAGTCTGACTGAGAATATGGCCCTTGATAGAGCAAAATAGTGGAACAGGATTTGTGTACAGTGTACCCTATCCCAAATAGTTGGGACAAAGCTCAGATGATGATGATGATGAATATTTAGCAGATGAAGTCTAACTAAGGACTTACACAACGTCACTAAACTCTCAGGTCATAAATAAATGTGAAAAAAAAACAACATTAGGAGACACTACAAGAATAACAAGTGATCCTACGCAAAATCAACAGACAAATGGTATATAATACAGCAAACAATGGGATTAGGAATCATTTGTTTGTGTATCATCACTTTCAATTTGTATTCCACATGATGGTTTCATATAGAAAGGTTAAAATTTCATCACGAAAGTTCTAAGCTCACTGAATGAGCAGAATGATAGGAAAGTCGCTGCCACCAGATAATTTAAGTTCTAAAACGGACCATAATGCATGTTCAACTGAAATATCAGAAAGAAAATACCTTCACAAAGTCATCCAACACTAACAAGGAATTCTCTGTGTATCCAGCTTCCACTAAAACTTGCATCAAAACTTGCTACATAAAACAACAAAGTCATCAGAAAAAGCGATAATAGAAATAAACAAACAGATATGTGAAACATCACTAGCTACCATTGTCTTATAACTGGTTGGCAAAAAAACTTACATTGGTTTCTAACTGACTGGGAAATTTAATCCAGTTACAAAGCTAAACACCCAGTCATAAAGCAAAACACCCTATGGAAATTAAGAGCACAACAATTAATTAGTAAATTTGAGCACATAATAACCATTGTTTTCCGAAGTAAAAAGGGCTAGGGTTGCTTGTTTCGGATTTTTGGGACAAACTTCAATGGTTTGAACCTAATCTCCCTCATTACTGAGTTTATGCATAATAAATCTCATCCTTCGCAAAAGTGAAAGGTTAAAATCGATACCACGGATGTGCGACATAGTGAAACAAAAGGAAACAATGGAAAAAGACATCTTAAGACAGTTGTCAAAAAGCTTACATGCTGCGATGATTTACAAACACAAGGACGAATCAAAATAGAGTCCGTCACTCTCTTGAAGGTTTTTTAAAGGTTTTTATTTTCTGTCATACAGAGGAGAGCAGATTTTCTTATTCTACTCAGGAAGGTGTGTCAGTCTCAACTCATGGACAGTTCTCACCAATAGAAAGTGTGAGGGAAGGAATGTGACCACATCAGGGATGGAATTCGTCTAGGGCCCACTGCTTATTTTGTAACGAAGTACAAAATAATTCACACTACCAATATAGGACAAAACAATTTTCAAACCAAGTTGGAAACTTCATTGGGATCTAATGTTAATCATTTTCAGTAAGTTCACGACTATTCCTCAACTATACACCATGTTACACAAATGCTAACTGAAACACAAACGAGTTCAAGTGAATGCATTGCAAACAACTTACTGATCCCCCCCTCCCCTCATGAAAAAAAGAAAGAAAAAAAAGCACCCAATAACACACTAAAAGCCCTACGGTCCAGGGCTGCATATGAAGTCCAAAAATTCGAAGTAACTAGCATCCAACCTTCCTCTGTTGTTCAGAAATGAAGTGTCCTGCCAAGTCCCGCAATACATCCAACATATCGTTGAATGTAACTTTTCCATTGCCGTCTAAATCATAAACCTTGAAGATGACTGCAATGATCAAAAAACAAGAAGTAAGCTCGAGATAACACAATTACCATAGATGATTGAAACAATAGAGAGCCACAAAGAAGTCAGCCATCAACACATTACAAAAGATAGCCGCAATAAGAAAAACCCAGGAGAACAAAGCCCAGATAACTAAATTAGAAAGAGAGCAGCCTTAACTAGAAGGTGATTACTATCTGAAGCTATGTTATAGATATACCCACACACCCAATACATGGATGGAGATCATCAAATGCACATGCTGGCTAGAAATTCCACCCATGCTTTTGGGAGCGACAAGCAAAATCATGGGTGCCAATAGGGAAAATCATGGGTGCCAATAGCTATCCCTCAATATACAACAAGAATAAGTAACCTAAGATAGCACAATTAAAAGCAAAATGTCTCTACCAACTTAATCAAATTGAACCAAAAATTTTCGAAATACACCAAAGTAACAGGAATTTCAAGTGAATTTACAAAAGGCTAACCCTACATTCAATCTTCTGATGAACGGTTGCTCTAGAACTAAAAGCTGCCAAGAACGCTACAAAATCCTTAAAATTCAAACCATCAAGCATTCTCAGCAACCTCTGAAAAGAAAGACACAATTCATGAGTTTGACAGATAAAAAAACACCTAAATCAAATATACTGCAAAAGGAAATGTTGGGGTTATGTACATTGGTCTATCGAGAGCCATTAAAGGAAAATAAGAACTGTACCATTGAAAGGAATAATGTAGTGAAGCAATGCTTGAATATGACCAACCAAAATGTCTAAGAGAAAAAAGTCAAAAATAAAAGGAAATAAGTTAATAGAATGATTACATGCCTGTGAGAGAGGATTGACCACAAATTCAGGTACTGTGAGGAACTCATCTCCTGATATGAACCCACCATGATTTTTGTCGAGCTGGCAAAATCGCTCATAAAGGGAAACTATTTCTTGCTGTGAAACTATAAAAAAAATTTAAAAATCAACAAGAAGGAAAATTCCATTAACTTTTAATTCCCACTCAGCTCACCCATCCTTAGCGAGAGAGAACAAAGAACTTGGATTATTAATGTCTGAATAGAAACCTTGAAGCCCTAAATGAGCTTATTTCCACCCATAAATTTAGAGCATTCAGACATTTGCAAACAAAAAAAAAGTAATCTGCCACGAATTAGGAACCTACAAAGATTGTTGCAATGCTCCTGAACTTCTTCAATGTCATGCTGGGTAAGCATAGACGAAGTGTTTCCCATCACTTCTATCCGAAACCAGATCAAAGAAGAACGAAAGAAACCCTAATTCATCAACCAATCTTAGGTTTTTATGGAGTTCTTTCTAACGGAAAGAACAAAGAGAATCCTTACTGTTCTCGGATACTCCAAAATTTGAAAGAACTGCAAATGCAATGAGAACTTAGGAAAAGGAATCTGGTAATTGATTCAATGCAGGACCGATGAAAATGAAACACTAATTTTTTGGCCAATTATTGAAATTTAAATCATCAAAAGCGAAATGAAACCCTAATTGTGATGGAGAACGATCGGAAATTAATGGGAGAGAGGCGCGACAGTAAGCCAGATGACATCATAAAGATGCGTTTGATAGTAACGAGTCCAAGGGTACGACGGGTTTATTAACGCTAATGAATAGACGGGCTTTGTTGGTCGGGGTGCGTTCAACAGTAAGCGTACCTCTAAATACAGTTGAATGATGATTTTTCGATATCAAAACTTATTATGATAAGCGAGCGTACCTTTGTTCGCTTCTTCTCCACCAAGCACGGAAGGCTTAAAAATTTATTTTAAATTATAAAATTTAAAACTTAAAAATTTAAAACAGATGGAACATAACTATATAACACATAAAAATATTGAAAATTGACAGATACTAAATGAATCCTTCTCGACATTTTAAGGAATATGGATTGGCTTGACCATACCTGATTTGGATAAGTCAGTTTCAATTTGGATCACCAATTTTTTTGAACAGCGGTCCAACATGATTGTGCCTCTCTTGTATAAAAACAATTTGAATTGTATAATATGAGAGTATATATCATTATTACAAGGAAATCACAATCATTTCTATTCATTAGATGTCAAAATGGATGAATTAGATTATGTCACGAAATTTAAGAATTTTTTTTTTGAAACTTTAAATATGATGAATGACACACTTACAACCACCAAGCTTAAAATCTTTTTTTTTTGTTATCAGTGGGCAATATAGGCCCCTACCCCCTTAAAATCTGACGATAAAAGTAATTGTGATCTCCTTATATTCAAAATAAATAGCCTATTTGTATACTTTCCAAACAAACAAAAAAAGTCATCATATACATTTTTAAATGGAATGAACTATTTTTGAACTCTTTGTCCATTTCAATAGCACACTGTTATCTATTGTTCCCAACAAAAACACAAAAGTCTTTCTCTCTTTCTCCATTCTTAAAGCACACTGAGTCGTAGTTCCCATGGCGAAAAAAAACAGCTCTCTTTTTATATAGCACATTGTGAACTGTAGATCATCATCAAAGCCTTTTTTTCTAATTAATTTGGGTCAGCTACACAAATCCTGGTCCGCCATTATGCTTTGTTAATGGACATACCCTTAATGAGGCCATAAGTCCCAATATCTTTTCTCACTAGTTCTAATATTGTATATTTCGCCTTATCCCTTGTTTTTTCTTAGCCTTTCACTTGAACTAACTCGCACCTTCTGAGAGGTGTTGTACTGGATCTGTACCACACATGACTAGCCTACCTAAATCTGCTTTCTCTCATCTTACCATCTATTGGTACAACAACTAAATTCTCCCAAATGTATTCATTTCAAATTCTATCATTTCTTGTTTTGTCACTCATTCGTCTCAATATCATCATCTCAGTTAGAGTCATTCTATGGGTATGTTTCTTCTTGACCCCCCAACATTCTGCCCCGTAAAGTAAAATTGGTGTTATAGCTGTCATATAGAACGTGCTCTTTAGCTTCATTGGTATGCAATGATTATATAAAATTCTATGTGCGATATCTTCGTCAATCTTTCTATTTTCTTAGATTATCGATTAAAGATATCAAAAGTGCGCTCCTTTGGTATTTCTTGGCCATCAATGTTAACTATTTTTTTGTCTCTACTCCTATCATTACTAATTTTGCATTCCATATGGACTCAAGATATCAAAAGTGTGTTCTTTTGATATTTCTTGGCCATCAATCTTAATTACTTATTTGTCTCTACTCCTATTATTGCTAAGTAGGAAAATGTTTCTATATTTCCCCTATAGCATAGAAGATCTATACTTCCCCTACCATCTAGTCGTCCAATTTTGATCAAGAGAGCCACTCACTGTTTGATCTTTAGATCCGATGTCTCAAAATATTTTATTTTTAGTTTTTTTTATAAAAATTGTATGAATAGGAAATTTTGTACATGCGATATTCTCATTGGGTCTCACATATAAAAATTATTAAAACCCCTTGAAACTTTCAATGGTATTTTAGTTATTTTAATTTTTTGAAAATATTTTTTATATATATTTTTGCTAGTACGAGTTTAATAGAGGATTGGACGTATAAAATTTAGTGTCCAAATAGTTTATATAAAAAAACTTAAAATTAAAATAGTGCAGAGATATGACATTGTGATTGGGACAATCTTAACCCTCCATTCTAAATGGTTGGATAAGGGAAAGTATATAAATTTTATACTATAGGAGAAACATAGATAGCTTGCCCTATTACTAAACTTGCATTCCATATATTCTCTTTTAATTCGGCTAATTTTATAATTTTTAAAATTTTAAAATCCAAGTATCATGAATCAAAACTATCACTATAACCCGTACCTTACACGATTTCAAAGTATCATGAATCAAAACTATCACTATAAACCGTAGATCGCACAAAAAGAAACCTCTCTCTTCACATTGCTTGAGTGTAAATTCAAACCTTTTACTTTCCTTCTCTCTTACTTCAATATGGTCCCAATGTCATGCGCTTGCACAACCTAAACACTCCCCTCTCTTTCTCTACACTTCAAAAAAAAAAAAGAAAAAAGAAAAATGAAGGTTTTGGGACCTTCCAGTGCAAATCAAATATGAAAAGTGCACCTACACCAACGTGGAGCCTTACCAACCACTCGCAAGCGCTCTTATCATTCTTAGAGTGAGGTTTGTATAAGGTGTCTATCTTGTATTATTGCAGTACGGTACGCCTCAAAACTATACTGAAAATGTGGTGCTACACAGCCTGGTAATGATATGAAAATCTATGATTGTCCCTCATTATAAATCTTAAAATTTTAAAAACAATAACAATCAAGCAGATATATAAATACTTAAATTTTAAAAAAATGAACAGTCTAAATAATATGTTAGATGATAAACCATGTTTAAGATTAAAATCACCTTATTTTTCGTGTCCGTAAATCTCCAGGCTGAGATGATCTATTTGACGGTTTTTAAGCATAAGAACGACCTTCACTGATGGGTTTTTTAGGTATGCCGTACGAGCACAGAGTAAGGTTGAGATCTTAGATAAGGATCTTTTTTTTCTTTTCCATTCTGGGTTTAAATCCCCACTTCTCCTTTTCTTTCTCTAACTCCATTATCATTCTTAGGGCCTGGAATAATCTCTCTCTAAGGTCACTGCACGTCTCAAAACTATGTACGGTCTTTTCGCCCCCTCATCGTTACATACTCTATTGCAAGTGAAAACCAGTCTTCCTTGCATTTCTCATGGCCATGAAGCCCCACAAGTTCTCCCCAATAGCCCATCTGGGTTTTCGAGCTCCCCCCTTTTTGGCCGAAGGGTACTGCCTCTTCTCTCTCTAAGCCTACCCATTTCTCTTTCTAGACCATTGAGGAAGCCGGGTGTGGCCTTTGCAGCTGCTGTCACAGAGAAGAGCATCCATGATTTCACTGTCAAGGTTTGCATTCATTTTTATTTTTTATTTTTTATTTTTATTTTGTAAATTTTTTGTTGGAATTTTATTTGTAAAGATTGAACCTTTGTTATCAAATTGGCTTTCAAAGAGGCGAATCCTTTTGATTTTTAGGCATATACCGAAGAAAAGCAAAGCGTGGTGCTGATTCAGACCGCTTCAGGTGGTCAAATTTGGACCGGGTTTGCTTCGGGAAATAACGTGTATTTTTTAATTTTTTCATTAGTTATATATATATATAAATTTAAATTATTTATACTAAATTTAAAAAACAAATTCCGAAGAAGCACCGAAATTGCTTAATTTTTTCGAAGAAGACTACTGAGCGAATCTAACAACATTGGTTTCTACAATTTGGAGATAGTATCAAGGAAATACGAATCTAACAACATTGGTTTCTACAATATGGGGATAGTATCAAGAGAAATACGAAGTAGAACTGATGTATTATATCTAAGTTGGGTTTCTAAATTTACTGGAGATTTGTTTTGATTTTAGTGGCAAATTATTGGGGTTTATTGGCCTGAGAGATTTATTTGGTTTGGCAGGATATTGATGGAAAGGATGTATCCCTCAACAAATTCAAGGGGAAGGTTTTGTTGATTGTCAATGTTGCTTCCAAATGGTGATTGTCTTCTTTATTGGGAAGAATTCGTTCAAATTACCACTTATAATAGCCATGTTCTCTGTTCTTTCATTGCAATCATACATTATTATTATTATTATTATTATTATTATTATTCATGTAACTAGTACATGAGAACTTCCTTTTATTTATCTATTTTAATTGTTTATTTTTTTTTGGTCCTCTTTTGGAGATGGAAATATTGAAGTTCATTTGTTCATGCAGTGGCTTGACCAAGTCCAATTACACAGAACTCACACATATATATGAGAAATACAAGCCTCAAGGTATGTTTGAAAATTTTAATAAAGACATGGATATTCCCTTTCAGGCTTAGAATTTGTTGTTTAGTTTGATGACTTTTTGAAGTCTTCCTTAGTCATTCTGATCATGTGTTATTTAGTACTGTAGTAAGCCTTCCTTCTATTTCTTGAATACTACCTTGACTCATTGATAAATGATTACCATATTCCATTCCTTTTCTTTTTTCATTTTGTTTCTTTTTGGGGGCTATTCAGCAAATATAAATAGGAAACAAGCAAGTCTGATGTAGAGGGGCGAGTTTTATGGGGGATAATTCAAAACAGTGCCCATTAGTTTTAGATTTTTTCCAGTCTATCACGAGACCAGTGCTCTGTAGTGCTTCTCTTGGAGATTCGTATAGAAACTCATATAAGCATTGCTCGAAGAGCTTTTCTTTGGAGTTTAATTCTCTCAAAGTGTAAAGACATAATTTTTCTTACCATCTTTGGATACACAGTATGGGTCTAGAACCTTAAAAGGGTTGGAATGTTTATTCATCTAGTTTAAAGTAGATGATGCTAAAGTTGCACACGGCCAGTTTCATCCATGTTTCTTATTCAAGTGCTACCGATTCAATCTGCTTATTTAATCCCATAGGTCAGAATTCCATGCAATTTTCTTCCCCCCCTCCCCATTATTAAAGCTAGATGGAAATAAGTAATAGTGCCATTTGGTTACAACTGTTAATGGTTGGAAACTCAGTCTTAAAATAGATCCTTATCCACCTCGAAGCTTAAGTTCTTATTTGAGTGGGTTTCTGGTTTCTATAAGTTAAGTCCCACCCTGTTAGTCTTTTATTTTTAATCATTAGTCTGTGAAAGTCATTTAGGAATGCATTCCTACGGTACTTAGCTGAGTATTAGAATGGGCAATTTAAGAAAATAATTTGAAATGTTAAATTTGTATTAAATTTGTAAAATGAAATGTATTATGGAAATTATTTCTCAAGACCCTTTTTTATTTAGTAATTGTCTTTTTTTTTTAAAAAAAAAGCTTAGCCAAAAAAAAGGCTATGATCACAAGATATGGGCAGATGGTCTCCCTTAGAAGTCAATGGTCCTGCATCAATGTTAATCTTGGCACATGAAAATACCCAAGTCTCTAATGCAGTATTGTTTTTGAGTAGAAGTCACTTTCGTTTGGGTATTAGTAACAACTTCCTATTTGTGACGTTTATCCCGTCTCTAGACCATGATCATTTTTTATGCCGATATTCACATCATAGAAAACCTTAGGAAAAATAATTGTGGAAATTGTTAGATAATTAAACCTAAAGATAACTTTGCAGCAGGATAGGAACATAAGAAAGACAAGATTTTTAGCAAAATAAGAACATGAGAAAGAAACATTTGTAGGAAAATAGGAGCATAAGAAACACAAGACTTGTACCAAGATAGGAACATCATCATCATCATTTGAGACTTATCCCAACTATTTGGGGTCTGTTATATAAATCATGTTCTGTCATTCTGGTCTATTAAGGCCCATACACTTATGGAGACTATAAGGCCGATATAGCACGTTGCTTACAGGCAACGCCCTAGCGTGAGCGTATAACATAAGTTCATGAATGATGAAAAGTTGTGGCACAGTTTTACGCTGGCTGCCTACTTAACATGACCCTCCTCCTTTTACCCCGGCTTGGGACCAGCGTGACCGTAATGGGGCCAGCAAGGCAGAGTTTATCATGGTAGAAACATAAGAAAGACAAAACTCGTAGCAAGATATGAACAAAGAAAGGTTAGTGTGAAAGAAAGAAGGATCGATAGGAAGATTCTTAATATCAATTTAAGGTTGACCATCAGCAAATAGCATTTAGGTCACGCTTGTTTAGGTAGAAAGAACTTTCTGAGAAATTTCATTCATGCTAGACTATTGCTTTCCCTTGTCTGCTTTCTGAAAAAGAGGCAGTCACTGTAGCAGATGGGAAAGTGCTTTCCCAGCCTTCCCCATCTATAATATTAAATATGAGAAAGCAGCACTCAACCTATTAGGTGTGAAAGCACCTTCCCAGGCTGATGAGAAAGCTCTCTTGATGAGAAACTCCCCCCGGGAAGCACTTTCACAAGAAACAATCATACCCTTAATTTTTTTAGATGATAGGAAGAGAGTATGAATCTCCAATTCTTTTATTGCAAATTTGAATCCTAGAGAGCGAAAACTGAATTGCTTCATTCTTTGTACAAGTCAGGAAAATGACTTATGTGCCTTGATATAGGATTTGATATACTCGGATTTCCTTGCAACCAGTTTGGAGGGCAAGAGCCTGGAACAAACTCTGAGATAAAGGAGTTTGCTTGTACAAGGTTCAAAGCAGAATTTCCCATTTTTGACAAGGTACCTTTGGTAGCCTAATTCCATTACATGTTTCTTACAACATATGGGATGCACTTTCTATCTCTCTCTCTCTCTCTCCATGAGCCTAATTCCATTTCATGTTTCTTACAACATATGGGATAGTGTGTGTGTGTGTGTGTGTGATTGTGATTGTGATTGTGTGATGGAGCTGACTTGATAAATCCAACAGGTTGATGTGAATGGACCGAATACTGCACCCATATACCAATTCCTGAAATCCAGCACTGGTGGATTTTTGGGGGATGTAATTAAGTGGAATTTCGAAAAGTTCCTGGTCAACCGAGATGGGAAGGTTGCGGAGAGATATAGCCCTACTACTTCTCCTTTCCAAATTGAGGTAGGTAAATAGCTCCTTTTGGGCAAAGAGTAGTAGGAGCCTAATTGATTTTTGGGTCTGTAGACTATGACACAGGTCATAGGCTTCCCATCATCCCAGCACTGGATTGGATGGTGATGGTGTGAGAGTAAGCTATACACTTTGAAAGAATGACATGGTTAGTGGGCCCAACTCTCCTACAATCACTGTTCTAACCAGTGGTGTGATGTTGGTGCTCTCTGATGGTTGCATACCTCTCCAAAGTCCTATGGTGGTAGTATATATTTCCCAAATCATGTGGTTAACTTTCTTATTTATGTTTTATAGTAAAGATTTGAAAGTCTGCATAGATTTTTGCAAACAATAACATTCTTTGACAAAGGCTTATGAATTTATTTATTTATGGTGAACTTTTAAAGAATTAAAATAGTCTTCAGAAGCAATTAGTTTTTCTGATAATCTTGCAGGCTTAAAGATACAGGACCATGCATGTGTTTTTGCATGTCTGAATCTAAGATTAACTAACCAGACAAAGCATTGGTATCTCTAACAAAAACCAGTAAATTGTAACTTGGTATATCTACTCTAAAATTTGTGGTTTTTGTTAATCTAGGATTTTTTTTTTTTCATCGTTTTTTAGTGTTGCTTGCACACTTTTCCTTGGCCACTGTTGAAAAACTAGGGCTCTTTTTGTAACCTTGGAAAAGATGGGAGCAGTATCTGTTAGTTTATGGTCTTTGATTCAAGTTATATGTTAACATGGTTTCATGTGCTTTCTGTTGTCACTGATAGAACTCCTTTTTCTTTGTACTTTTAATATTGCAGAAGGACATCCAAAAACTTCTTGCAG